AAACAGCCGTAAATGTCCTCATCAAAGCTGTAAGAAAAAAAACTTCGGCCGATTCCGAAAATACAAAACGTGGAGAACGGCCTCGCGGCTTGAGTGGTTCAATCTTGTGTGCGCCGTTACACGTGACGCTTCAATGAACTGCCAGGTACGCAGGACAACGGAACAGGTGGACGCCAGGAGTGCGGACGGGTGAATTCTAGCAACGACCCGTTGCCTGCCGTCTGCACAGCCGGCACAGCCGTGTGGAAACAGGTAATCCAGCGAGCCTGTCCCCGGGGGAAATTTCATTTCGATGGTTTGTGGGGCTCGTCACTGTGTGTTGCGCACCCTTGATCACTATCTCGGGTATATTGTTACAGGTGCTTTTTCCCTCTTTGGCCTCAAGTTCGTGTGGGTCAGACAACCACTAGGACACAATACTTTCCTTTGGTCACCAAGAGGGGCAAAGGAAAAATTTTTGGGCTACAACACAAAAAGGTATATGAAGGGAGTGACGAAGGCAGTTGAGTGCACGGGCTTGCGCGATGGTGGCTGGGTACTGGCGGTCCTTGTGGACCCGAGTGGAGACAGACCGCCCGTGAGTGATGATTGCGTCGCCCGAATGGTGTCGATTGGCAGTGAAGGAGGGCAAGTTTTGGAGATGCTGGTTGTGGGTAGTTTCGACGAGTCTTCTCGGAAATATCCCCCGACTTTGGACGGGGTCCTCGATTGGTGTCGAAGGGTGCGCATTTACCATCCGAAAGTTCAGTCACCGAAAGATGCCGAAGACTCCAAGTGCGTCGAGCGCCTGTTTGCCGAAGCCCTTAAGAAATACTTTCAAGGCGTAGATTTGTCTACAGTGGAGGAGATATGGCAGGAAGCCTTCGGCAAGAAGTTACAGCGCGAACGTGTAAACAACGAACTTGTTGACACCGAAAATGTTGGGGAAGACAGCGGTGAAGTAGGCGAGCGGTTGGAAGTGTTAAGCGCCAGGTTGTTGACGCGAGCGGAGCGGGACCAACTCGCCCCTCAGGTGGCGGATGACTGGATACCGGCCATCGACAAGTCAGTACAAGAGTCGGACGAAGGTCGACACTGGCTGCGTCACCGCGGGGTACCCAACTGGGTGGAGGTGTTGAGTACTGTTGTGGGTGGTGGTCTAGTGGCAGCCTGGCTCTGGCGTCAGGAACAAGCTTCTGCGTCGAGCTACGAACCCCTTTCCGAGTCATCACTAACGTCGTTGCAAATTGTAGGGGACGTTTGCAAACGCGCGTTCAACACTACAGCTCAGCAGATGCAGCCGGTAAGCAACTTCCTCTGGGCGCGACTGGGTGTGGATGTGTGCAACGGTGATGGGTATGGAGGCCGGCTTGTTTGCACGACGACACACCATGCAGAACCTGTTTGTCACTCTTTCGGTCTCCCAACCAAGTTCGAATTGACTACCGTCGGGGAGGCAGTCGAGCGTTTGCTGGCGCCTGCTATGTGTGCGATCGACTGCAACAACAGACAAGAAAGCACCTCACTCATTCAACAGAAAACCGCCACGGAGCTTGCTGCCACAATCCTCAACAAAGATGTCAGCAATTTGGGACCCGAAGGTCTGCAAGCAGTAGGAAAGGAAATTCACGCCCGGCTCAACCAACAACTGGGGTGCTCACCGGTCTGCTTTTACGACACGTGTAAGTACAATCCCTTCGAGCCCAATACGTCCCATTGCGACTGCAAGGCGGCACTCTTCCAATGCGTTATGATGCACGCTACGGATAACAAAAAGCGCCGTTTCTTCAACGCAGACGCACTACTTGACTTCAACACGAATCCAGGGAAAATGGCCGAACACAGCACCGCTCGAACAAGCGACAACATCGTTCGATGCGAACTAAAATGCTTTTCTGAAAATCCAACTTCTTGACGCCCGCCTGCTTGACACACACACACACATGGTCCGGTCGACCTTGTTGGTTTGTCCCGGGGTCGTCGGTCGACTACCACTATTATGAGCGATTGCAGTTGACAGGTATCGACAGACCAGGCAAAGTGAGCCCGTAGTTGTTGTGTCTCACCAGACAAGTACGGCGACTTTTTGGAGTAGGCCCGAACACCTAGCCATCCCACCGGCAACTGACCATCCAATACCACCCAGCAGGGAGCCACCCAGCAGGGAGCCACCAGTCCAAATGGCGTCTGATCAGTCAGTCAGTCAAGTCGGCGGCCACCACTTGCAGCCGGGCTGCTCTCCAGAAGCAGGTTGCGCCATCCATAAGAGACACGCAAAGGCCGGCCCTCCATGCAGTGCAGTGGGTGCAGTGCAGTGCAGTGCAGTGGGTGCAGCGCAGTGAGGGCTGTGACTCCATCCACCACAATGCAGAGGCTGTTTGGGTGGCGAAGAAAATTTTGATTATCAAAAAGATATGAAGACAGTTGTGTGCTCGGGGTTGGGCTGTACGGGATGGGGTGAAGCTGTGGCGGCGCTGTTGGAGTTGAATGGCGACAGGCCGCGGGTGAGTGACGAGTGCGTAGCGCGAATGGTGTCGATAGGGGCAGGAGGAAGACATGCTATTCAAGTGGCGGTGGTGGGTAGTTTAGGTGACCGTGTGCAGCAGTGTGAGCAGGAGGCGGGTTGTCCGCTGGCGTTTGATGGGTTTATGAAGTGGATCCGGCGGTTGCGAGTGTATCATCAACGGTGTCAGCCGCCAGATGCGGTCGAAGCACGTAAGAATATACAGAGCATGTTGGGTAAGGCGCTGCGGAAACAACTGGATGGCGCCACAGACCGATTCACAATCCAGCAAATATGGGCGGAGGCCTTCAGCGAAAAACTGCCAAGCGAGCACGCAGTGAGCGTGGAAGAAGAAGAAAGTACGCAGCTTGAAGTACGCTCAGCGCGCCTGTTGACACAGACAGAACGCGACCGGCTGATACTGCACGTTCCGGATGACTGGGTGCCGGCAATCGAACGATCAGTAACCTCGAGGCAACGAGGGCGCATCGGAGCACCTATTCCCGAGCCTTGGTACAAGCAGACCAAGTGGCGTCTGGGCATCACAGTTGGCGGGTTCATGGCCGCGACGATATTGGGCGGCTTGTATTATATCGGAATTCCTACCCCTGCCGCCCCCGAGCGCCTTCCGGAACAGTTTGGAGAATTGTATCGAGGGTTGTACGACCATCCTGCAGAGACCAAGCACAACTATTCTCTGTCGGCTTCCGACCTTGGCCGACTGCGCACGACGGACTTAGTGTGTGCGCACACATTCAAGGCTGTGACTGCGACGCCCGTTACCTTTGACTGGATACGGCCTGGTGTTTGCGACGGCTATGGAGGCCGCATCGCCTGTAGCTGGTCCGACGATCAACGACCTGCCCCCTTCTGCTACTACTTCGCCGGAGATACCAAGTTCGATTACACCGCCGTCGGAGAAGCCATCCACCGCTACCTCCTACCGGCAGTCTGCGGCATCGACTGCAACTCACAAATTGACCACGTGAGACGCGTGCGCCAGAGAACCGCAATAGAGCTCGTTCCCTCCCTGATGGGCATGCCCGTGCAACAGTTATCCCCCCAAGCCTTGGAATCCATCGGCACAATAATTTTCCAAAGATACCTACTACAGGACGACGGCTGTTCTCTCAGGTGTAACGGGGACGAATGCGCACCAAACCACATCGCCGAAAACACCCACGCGTGCCGTTGCACATTCGGAGCCTTCCGGTGCTCCTACGAAGCCAAACCCGGTGTCACTGTTACCTCAGATCGTTTGGTAGATTACGGCACCAGTGCACACGCACTCGCTATGCATAGCTCTCTACTCAGCCACCAGCTCTGCAAAAACGGTAAGTGCGAATGTCTCTTCGAATGCTTCGTCGAACAGCCATTGCAACTACCGCCGAGGAAAACCACACGGCAGGCCGAGCCCTCAAGACCATCAGAGACCTCCCCGTACCACGTGGAGCCGACCACTTCGCCCTTGTCGTCAAGACCATCAGAGACCTCCCCACACCGGGTCAGTCCGACCACTTCGCCCTTGTCATCAAGACCGTCAGAGA